TCAGTTCCATCATGTTGAACACAACTTCATGCATCCATGTGAATGCACAGCAACCTCAAGCATCAGCAATGAAACTTCAACTTCAATCATGAGGTCACCTGTTGATGATGACATTCCTACAGGCATCCCAGCCACCTTTGATCGAGAACTAACTGTAACTGACGCACGCTAACCCTACATACATACTTCGCAATGAGTCAATATCACGATTACACCATTTCCATCATAGGCATATATGCCCACTGCATCACACTTCACACAGTGCAAGTTCAACTTAGCATGGCCACGAATTGGTCATCGCAGACCTAGACAACTTAGGCATTTGGCCATCACTGGCACCGGTTTCTGCATGCGGTGCCTGATCCTCATCCTGTGCTGCGCCATGTCGTGGAGCTGGGGCAGCTGGGGCAGCTGGTGGTCCAATAGGGACCGGGGCTGTGCTGAGCCTGATGACGAAGATCGGTGGGGCAAATGGGGCCCTGATGGCCTTGAGAAGGAGTCGAAGGACAGCTTCACTGTCATTCTTTTGAAGATATGATAACATGCATATGTTTTGATACAAGTTTACTGCATGTTTTGTGGTTTGTGACAGTTGCTTGATATCTTGGAGGAGCCTGCGGAGGAGCCAGATCCCGTGCCTCCGTCACCTTTCCCGCCTCCGCCATGGCGCAAGAAGGCTTGTGTTCACTCTGTGGTTTGATCTTATCTTCATGTTTGGTCATCAGGGACAGCTTGAACATGTTAGCGTGGAAGTCTAGCTCCTGTTCATGTGACCCGCGAAGCCTTACTTGCTGTCAGGCGGAGAATGACGTGGAGGTGATCGCAGTGCCGGACGATGCCACTTCCTTGCACTACGGCTGCTTTGTTTACAGTAATTGTGCAGTATGTTTCAACTGGATGTGTTGCTGGCATCTTGACAATGCTTCTCATGGCCCTTGGAACGCGTCAGGAGGCTGGGGCAGGGTCCAGTAGCGACAGGGCCAAGCCGGTGGCGTGCAAAGCGATGCCCAGGAAGCGAGTGGACACCCCAGGATTCCATCTTTGATCATGCAGTGGTGCTCAACAAGTATATGGATGTATATTGCATCAAAGGCTACCATTACAACTGAAATTGTTCTTTGTTGCACCAAAAAGGACGCCCTCATCATGTTGAGACACATATCAGTATATCAAAGTCGAATTGGATTCAATGCAGTACGATGTTCAAGTTTTTGTGTGAAACTCAGGCGCAGCTGCACGACCAGCAGTTGGCCACGACATCGGTGCGGTCCCATGTGGCCTTGGAGGCTCGATTTTCAAAGCCCTGCTTCGATGAGTTTTGTTTTTTCAATTCTTCTCACACTCTGTTGCAGGGATCATCCTCGGTGGAACGTGCGATGGATTCTGAAAATGCTTCCACGGGCGAGGCCTGGTCAAAAGTTTATTCATTTGTTTTGATGCATGTTTCAGCAGTGGATTGTTGTTGATAGCAGTCTATGAGTAGCGCATATATAAGGATGCTGCGCTGTTATAGCGTTTCCACGCAGGGGTACCCGCTGATGAAGATGAAGAAGCCGAAGGTGAACCCAGTTGGCCATGCGTGGGTGGCGGGGTTCCAAGCAGTCTACGGCAAGGCAGGGGATCATGTGCTCATATTGTAAGCATCGTTTTTGTTCTTGGGCCATGTCATGGCAGTCTCGGTGTGCAGTGTGGTCCCAGGATGCCCGACTGCCGGAGCCGAAGGATCTCACACCTGCCTTCCTCCAAGATCTGGCATTCAAGTACGCCATGAAGAACGCCGAACAGCAGGTCTATGCGAATCATTGCATTGCTGTGTCATTTCGTTCAATGTACAATTAATATCAGTACACACCAACATATATTAGTGTGGATAGAAATCCAAAACAGCAAGTGCATGTTTTGTGCCAGTATCAGAACATATTGAGAAAGAAACCCATGTTCGGCAGGTGCAAGGGAGGGATCTCTCGATGGCTCCGCCGGAACCGGCACTGCCACCACCACCACCACCACCGCAGGTTTGGGTTTTTTTGTCAAACAATTTGTGAGTTTTCAGGTTTGTTTCATTTTCCTTTTGTTTTGCTTGACACCTATCTGACGTGAATGGAGAACGAATCATGCCCAACAGGCGACGTCGGTGGTCAAGGTGACATGGCACAACGAAAAAAAAGCAGCTTGTCAGCGTTAGAGTTTGCTCGAGTCTTCAGTTTCAGTTTTTTAGACAATCGCTTCACCATGTCTTGCGTGCATTCTCATTGACAGTGTCGACTTGCCTCCATGTTCAGGAAATGTGGATGTCGGATGGTACCATCCGAGTTGATGGCAAGACCATCAAGGATGAGTGCCAACTGGAGCAGTACAGGCTGGGGGAATCCACTCGCACGAGAGCGAGGACTCGTGGAGGTTCTGCGGTTCGAGCCAAGGACTTTCGATTGCACGTTGAAATGTTGATTCATTTTGAGTCGCATGAATTATGCAAGAAGGTCTGAATGTGAATGGCTACAATGTGATGAATAACTGCAAACTTCCTGAGGAACAGTTCCAGAACCTCCATGAGATCCATGAGCAGGTCTGGCCAGAAAGCTTGACAGTTTGTTTAGTGAAGCATGTTTGTAACTTGTCAGTGATGTTGTTTGCAGCAATTCACATGATTGGTTTTGAGTTTGTTGTGCTCGTGAGGCGACATCATCTGATCCGGCCATGACGCCGCAAGAGCGGAGGTCAACCATCGCTGCGGTTCAAGATCTGGCAGCAGCGCTGAGGACTGCAACAAAGAGGTGAAAAGGTATATAAAGGTGTAAAGGTAAAGGGGCACATGGACAAAGCCTCCGAAAAAGGTAAAGGGCACATGGACAAAGCCTCAAAAAAAATCAAAAGGGCCGGCATGTGCCCTAAAACAAAAAGGTACGCAGCTTGCGTCCTCAGCGGCATCGCCATATATGAGGGATGGAGCCACAGACATGCCATGAAAATAATACGACATGTGAACATCCTAAGGCAACTTGCAAGGCTCCATCCTAATGATCCTAACGTGCGGAAATTCTAGGCATTGCGTGGGTGATTAGAAAACATGCATGATAGTTTCTCAAGTCATTCTTTCAATTACTGATTCATATCGAATTTGTAGATCTTGTTGGAACCTGATGTTATGTTGAGATCATGTGTTTCGCAATGCCTAGTATAGATCAGAGCGAAATCCATGGGCGTGTTTGCATGTGGCCTGGTCGTCAGTTTTGTTTGGTTTGAATGCTCGATGTGTTCTATATCTAGTAGGCCACTGTTTGTGATTGAAGATCTATAGGGTTTACAATCAAAGGCATTTCAAGGACAACCAGGTCAGGTACAGACCACACGCCTGTGGTGGCCGGGATTGCAGCATGGCGTTGTTCGATTTAGTTTCCATGAGTTGTGTTACCATAATTGTTCAACATATGACTTGTCATTGGTGCCCCAAATAGTTGTGGTCATACCCATATCATACTGAAGAAGATCAACAATTTTCCTGTAGAAGCTGCAATCCTGAGCCAACTTGAATTCGCCCAATAGTGGCAAAAACTGCGTCCTCCACCGCATCGGTGTTGAGAAAATGGTCGAAGACAGTGGGAGCACGTTGGTGCTAATAAGGCATCATTGTCATCATTGTCATAGGTTTCCGCAAGGTCCCATCTTGTCAGGCCATCATTGGCATCATGTTGTCGTAGTGCTGCTGTCCTTAAACCCTCAAGTGTTCATCAAGATGTTCCGTTTGTGAATCTTTCTCTTCCATCTTTGTTGATGTATTGCGACCATGCAGGCTTCCACTGATCGTCATCTTATTCTTCTACAAGGTGTGGGCAGCAACTTTGCTGTGATTCGCGCTGAAGGGTTTCAATCAACTTGACATGGATTTCACATGAACTTTACACGGATTTGTTCACATAGATTTCACATGGATTTCAAATGGATTTCACATGGACTTTACATGGATTTGTTCACATGGATTTCACATGGATTTCACATAAATTTCACATGGTATGTCATAATATGTCGTTTTTGAGTTTCAGCGTCGACCATGCAGGCTTCCACTGATCTTCATTTTCTTCTACAAGGTGTGGGCAGCAACTTTGCTGCGATTCGCGCTGAAGGGTTTCAATCAACAATATTAGATATGTCATAATATGTCGTTTTTCTATGATGAGTTTCAGCGTCAACCTGTGCGCAGTGCGAGCTAAGGCCCAGCACTTGGGATGCTGGCGGGGTGCAGTCTCAATATCAGTGTCTTGGCCTGCGTGGTAGGTCTATGGTGCTTGCGTTCACGTGCTTCTTTTTTCAATGCTTTCACATAGTCATTTTGGTTTCGTTTCCGTTTGAGTTAGCTTTGGCGTCTTCTGAAATTCAACTGTGTCCTGAGATCAACTCAGCCTGCCATGCGAGCCAAGGCCCAGCACAACGGAGATGTGTTGATGGTGTTTGAGATCAAGGTTGGAATCCTTTCCAAGATGCTTCATTCTATTGCTTGCACAAGAGTAATAGCATGATGCAACCCATGCGTTGTTTTGATACACATTTTCACAGCTCCTTGAGTTTGAACCGGCAGTTTCAATATGCCAGCAACCGTCAGGCAGCTCCACTCACATCTGATGAGGCCGACACCTGATTTCACTCTTGTTTAGATGTTGCACCAAGCAAAAACAAATTCTTGCATCCGTTTGCATCCCAGCTTCATTGCAGTCGGCTGCATGCTGTGTATGATTGCACGCATGCATGAATCTCACCAGTGAACCGTTGTCTTCAGTTTAGTGTGTCGTGAAAGCAGTGCGTTGTTGAGAATGCCCGTGCATCACGCCACACTGGATTCGATATCTCGGCCGCATGTTGTGCATGATTGCACGCATGCATTGATCTTGAATGTGACCGCAGCCGTGTGACAGAAAGCAGGCATGAATCACGACGGCAGAAGTCACACTCGCATGACATGCAGTGTTTGCTACATGTCAAACGTCATCGAAGGCCAAACTGAACACATGGCATGGTTTGCGCTGATCTTGTTTTTGTCCTCAGAAGTTGAGGCAGGGCGTTTGATCCCAATGGCTGCCAGCGGCTCCAGTGACACGCAGGGGGAGGTGTTCATCCAGGACCTGGAGAACATTCAAAGCTTCTTGGCCACGCAGAAGCGCACTGTGAAGAAGGAGTCGTTCAAGAAGATGCTGGACAACCAGGTGAAAGCCTGGGTCACAAGGATTCAGGAGATCACCATCCTTCCACACGAAGCCAAGCGGGTGGGGGAGTTGCTGGGTGAGGGGCCGTGGCATGATGAGCACCACGAGCAGTTGGCGGAGGCTCTGGGATCCAAAATGGATCAAGCAGCTGGTGGCGGGCAGGCGAAGGTCAGACGACCTCTTCAGACCTTGACCTGCTTCGCGTCGTACCTGACAGAAGGTGACTGCAAGGTTCTATCGGACCCAGACGTTCACAACGTCAACAAGATCCAAAGGTTAGTTGCCAAGTGCGTGAAGATGGGTCTTCATTTGCCGAAAGAGACGACCACCAAGCAGATCATCAAGACCGCGATCGACTGCGCCTTGGATGCATCGCAACTTACATAAAGTGTTTGAAGCGCCTTCCATCTTCTCCTCTCAAGTTCTGTGTTGATTTGATCAGTTTTCATCAATCTTGTGATTTTTTTGGAGCAGCTGTCCGTACTTCAGGCGGCATGAAAGTGGCAGACGCACCAGAGACCTTGAAGATGCTGAACGAGTTCAAGCAGCAGTTGAAGGCCAAAGTTAAACACATGGAGAAGAAATCTTTGCTCGTTCAGTTTCCTGATGACCCGGAGAAGCTGCCAAAGGAGATCTACGACAGAGTGTTTGGGGAGGAGTTGCCATCACCGCCCAAGGGCAGTGCCGGGGGGGAGTCATTGAAAGTGGTTGCGAGAAAATCACATGGTTTGGTGAAGAAGCAGTTGTCATTCAGTGACGCCAGTCCCATGGCCAATATGATGCAGCAGATGGATCAGATGATGAGGTCTAACATGGGTGGTGGAATGAACCCTATGATGTTGATGATGGCTGGCATGCAGCAGCTTATGGGTGCAGACAGCGGTGCTGCTGGTGCGCCTAATTTGCAAATCTTTGGTACCAAGAGGAAGCAGAAGGCATTGGCAGATACTGCAGAAGCCGACCAAACGCCGACAGAGCAGAAAGCTTTGACGGACAAGGCTAAGGATGAATTGCGTGATACCCAGGAAGAAGAAGAAGAGCCAAGTGAAAAGACTCAGCGAAGCGAGGCCGGCAAGAAGCCGCCAAACAAGAAATCATCTTTTGAAATGTTTGTGGGCGATGAACCTGAAGCTCCAGCATCAGCTCCCGCCAAGGCGAAAGGCAAGAAGACACCAGAGGAGTACGTGAAGCTCTTCAAGAGTGGCGTCAAGAACCGTGAACGAGCTCGCGCAGAGGCAAAGAAAGAAGATGTGGAGATGAAGTCGGAGGATGACGATGAAGCTGAGGCTTCAGAGCCGGAAGAAAAGCAGCCCAAGACAAAGAAGAGAAAGTCAGAACCAAAAAGTGCGGAGACACCGCCCGCCAAGAAGCCCAAGGAGGCAACCCCCAAGAAGAAGGTGAAGGCTGCGCCGAAGACAGTCGCAAAAGCTGCTGCAAAGGAGAAGAAAGCTGCTGCCCCCAAGAAAGAGGCATCTGCGCCAGAGGAAGGCGCTGTGCCGCGAAAGGATTTGGGCCCCAAGCCTGATCCGCCAGATCCTTGGACAGGGACGTTCTTCTGGGGGACTGGCAAGATCCACAAGAATCCAAAGTCCAATTCTTGGCGTGCCTTTGTTGAGAAGTCGGACAAGTGCGATCGCAAAGTGAAGTTCGGTGATGATCACGTCGCATCGTTTCACCGTGCCCTTCAAATCATCGAGGAAGGCATGGCTGCCCGATGCTTATGAGATTGCGCGCACAAAATCATGGCAGAAAAAACATTTTTCTAGTTGCCGCCGTCACCGTGCTCAAGCAGATTTTTCTAGATTTGAAATGATAGACCTGTGCAGAAAAACATATATAGCCTTAGTAGGGTTTCTTGCAGCAAAGTATGTTTATCTGAAAGAGTTGCACTGCAAGCGCATGTCATTCTCAGTTGTTTTTTCATGTCAGATCGATGGTGCCAGCAAACTGGTTGAACTCTTGGGTTTGCGGTGCTTGGTTCCAAAGCGGTAGGTGGCAGTTTAGAACGCAATGTCAGGTTTGAGAACAACATAAGTGATCAAAGAAATACTCGTAGATCAATAGACAAATGCACTCAAAGACACAGACACACACAGACACACGTATTTTCATATACACACATACCAACATATCGACCCCGTTTGCTTTCATGTAAGCTGCTTCACCTCCCAGCCGGGCGTTTCGCTCGCTGGGTTTTCGTCCATGGCCGTCAATGTGGGCCATCTTGGTAGGCGCAAGGGTATCTCTCGCTCTGGCTTGAGCACTGTTCTGGATGAATTGAAAAAGAACAAAATTCCAGATGCTACATCAAGACAAACCATCAAGAGACGCCGCGATGCAGACATTGATGTGCAGACGCGCTATGGCAAACTCCTGCAAGACTGGAAGGTCACGCTTCTGCCAGTCGGGAAGAAGAAGAAAAAATCTGGCTCCGTGACCAAGCCCAAGCAAGTGAAGACTGTGGAATTTCCTTTTGTGCAGCCAATACCTTTGCTTTGTCACATGTGCCTTGAATGTCCAGAATTCTCGGCCATGATGTTGAAGGTTTTGGATCGGTATGCGCCGAGCCAATCATCCCCACTCAGCTTGATTTGCTACAGTGACGGTATATCGCCTGGCAACGTCCTGGCGCACAACCAAACCCGCAAAGTTGAATGTGTTTATTGGTCGATCAAAGAATTTGGTGATTTGGCTCTGTCTTTAGAAAAAAATTGGTTTCTGCTTGGAATAGCAAGGACTGATCATGTCAAAAGGATGGCAGGAAAGATGTCGCAGTATTTCAGACATGCAGTGGAACGTTTTTTTTCTCCAGTGGATCTTCGACATGGAGTGCAGCTGGCATTCCCAAATGGAGAGCGGAGGATGCTATTCTGTGACCTGTCGATTGTAATAGGAGACGAGGTGGCTCTCAAAGAAAGCCTAGACATGAAAGGCGCTAGTGGAACAGTTTTGTGTCCACTGTGCCGTAATCTTGTCGACTGGAAGAGCAACCTTGACCACCATTCAACGGAGTTTGTTCCCAGCAACTCTACCACATTAGCTGGCGTGGATCTTCACTCGGATGAGACACTTTTGGAGACTGTACAATTTTTGGCAAGTCGTTCCAATGACGTGAGTAAAACAGCATTCAAAAAAATGGAGCAGGCGTTGGGCTTTAATCACAACCGTCATGGCCTACTGCAGTCAAATATCTTGACCCTCAAGCCTGTCAGCTTTTTGATGTACGACTGGATGCATACCTATGCAGTCGGAGGCCTGTGGAATGTTGAGCTCGGCAGTTTGGTTGCCAAGCTGTCTGCACATGGGGTGACGCAGGAAAGGCTGAACGACGAACTCAACAGATTCACCTGGCCATCTTTCTTGGCCGGTCGAGGTGTGACCGGTGTCAACATCTTTTCAAAAGAAGATCAGGATGGCGACATCAAATGCAGTGCAAGTGAATGCTTGAGCGTTTACTCAGTCATTAGGTTCATTCTCTCTGAATTCCGGAAGAATGGGGAGCTTGAGGCCTTGAAACAAGAGTGTGACAGCTACTTCAGGCTTTGCAGAGTCTTGGATTTGCTTGTCCACCAAAAAAACATGGCTGGGACCCTGATGCTCTTCGACAGGCAATTGAGAGGCACTTGAAAGGATATGTGGCTCTATATGAACGTTTCCTTCCAAAACATCACTACTCACTGCACCTGCCATCCCAGTGTGCCCAGCACGAGACACTCGTCTCGTGCTGGGTGCACGAGCGCAAACACAAGGAGATCAAACGCCATGCAAATCTCATCACAAACACATGGTCAAATTTTGAAAGATCTGTCATAGTGGATGCGATGGGCGATAGTCTCGATGCTCTTGCGGGCACGCCTGATGAACCATACTATGGAGGCTTGTGCAGCCCAGCTGAAGCAGGGTCTGCAATTAGCCAGGAATTTCGAAAGCTTGGGTTCGATGAGCAAATTTTTGTGAGTCGAACTGCCTTTTTCAGTCCTGGCGCAAAAGCTTCAGCTGGCGATGTCGTCAGGCTGGTTGATGATGTGGGTGAGCAGTGCTTGGGCGAAGTGAATTTCTTTGCGACAACCACGGGCCAAAACTTCTGCTGCATTACGCATTGGAAAGCCAAGGGCAACAACAAATTCCAGAAGAGCGGAACGAGTTTTGTGGCAGAGCTGTCTCAGGTTATGGACGTTTGTATTTACCGTGATGGCGCCACCTCCAGCCCGTCAGTGGTTTCATCCACTACTTGGTGACGTGGACCCCAAAGGGGTGCTGCGACTTTGCTGGGAAAAACAAGTCCCGCCATTTGCCTTGGCATCTTCAGCACGTATCAGAGTTTTTGGGTTTGTTTTGATTTTTTCGCAGAGAACGTTTTTCAGAAAGCGAGCGAGCGAGGGCAGCCACCCGCAGAACCAAAACAAAATATATATAAAATGTATATAGCTTCAGACGGTGCGACTTGGTACATCCGGTAATTGCGCATAGCTTAGCTTCATACGATACTCAAGTTTACACACTCTGCGGCTTACTTAGCGCATGATAGGTAACTAAGTTAAACTACTTACTAAGTAGGCCCTGGCGTACTTAGCGCATGATAGGTAACTAAGTTAAACTACTTACTAAGTAGGCCGCGGCGTACTTAGCGCATGATAGGTAACTAAGCTAAACTGCTTACTAAGTAGGCCCCGGCGTACTTAGCGCATGATAGGTAACTAAGCTAAACTACTTACTAAGTAGGCCCGGCGTACTTAGGGCATGATAGGTAACTAAGCCAAACTACTTACTAAGTTAACCGCGGCCTACTTAGCGCCTACTTATAGGTTCACATAGTAAGTTGGCCTGTAACTAGTTACTAAGTTCGCCTCGTATGTTCGCCAAGTCAAATAGTATATTACTCTAAGTTGCTGTAAGTAAATAGCAACCAAGCCGGTCATCCAAGTGGGAGGGGGTGACCCTCCACTTGAGATCTTTTCAAGAAACCGCCGTGCAGCAAGTCACAAAACATCGAGATATGGGGCTCATAGCCTTGTTTATGGTGTTGACATCCTGGGCTGACACTAGCTTCCCCTTTGGCTTGATCTGTGGTTTGCCGGCAGTGGGCTATGCGCCACCCTATGGAATTTTTCCCCAGCAGCCAGCTGAGGTGATCAGCATGGCAGATGTTTTGGATGGGTGGCAGGAGCACAACCAGCACATCCTGAACCAGCTGCGAGCAGGCAAAGATGATGAGTTCCTTTTGCAACAATCCATGGAGGATGCCAACAACGGGTTTTGCACCGCACCTCTGCGACGAGCCGAACTTTTGCGGCTCATTGGCAACCGAGCACATCGTTTGATCCCTCGTTGTGTCATCACGCAGAGTTCAGGCAAGCAGAGAGTGATCGACAATGGCGACACAGGAGGACAATCAGCCCTCTCCTCCGATGCCAACAAGCTCACCTTGTGCAGTCCTTTGCGTCCGGCCCAGCACATTCGTTGGTGATGCATAGATGGACAGCAGAGGACGTCGAGCACTTCTTCGCCACCGATGCCTGGGAGACAGGCCAAGAAGATCTACCATCAGCCTACCGGTATTGCCCCATGGCGATGCAGGAAAGCCTAGGCTGCGTAGTGGTGTGGTACCACCATGAATGGCAAACTCCAGCATATCAGGTCTATGCAGGCCTCCTTTTTGGGCTTCCGTTAGCGGTCACTTCATTCAACCGATTTTCGCGGTTGTTGGAAGCTTTAGCCAGGCGTTTTTGCCAAGTTTTGACATCTCTCTACTTCGACGATGCGACCATCACGGACCTACGTTCTTCCAAAGGCTCCGGACAATGGGCCATGAACCAGCTTTGCAAGTTGATCGGCTCCCCCTTTGCCGAAGACAAGAAGCAGTCAATGCAGAGCACAGGCACCTTTTTGGGCCTAACCCATGACCTCGACTGCATCAACCAGACAGGGCATGTCCGTTTTTGGGCTCGAGAACGTCTTCATGATAAAGTTCGTGACCTCCTCACTACGGCTAGGAAGGACTACAGGTCACTTCAGCCGTGGCACAGCTTCGAAGTTGTATGGCCTAGCGAATTTCCTGGAGCAGGGTATCTATGTTACTACTCTTTGGTACAAAGATCGTGACCTTATTTGGCCAAAGGAAAAATGTTTTTGTCAAACAAAAACATAGTGGGCAAAGATCAAACTTTTGAAGTGCGCTTTGTGGATGTCGCTTGTGTCTGTCTTGTTGTGGTTTTGTTTAAACGTGAAACAGGAAACCTTGCTGCCTAAATTTTTGAGAACCTTTTAAACAGGAATTCAAACATGTGAACCTTGTTTAACTGGTGTTAGTGAACTAATCTGTGAATGTCGAAGTCCTTTCCGTTCATCAGCCTTCGATGTGGTGTGACAACAGCATGGGGGTATAGTTCATTTTGGGTTCATGGACTCCGGGTTTGGTGAGCCACCTTTTGCTGGTGGAGCTTTACACAACAGTGCAGCTGTTACGTCGCGGGCCGATCCTGCGAGCGATGGTGCTGGCTCTGGTGGTGTGGACCCATTTGGACGTTTGGACCTTGCATTGGACTTAGAACCTGGTTTTCTTTTGGAACACAAAGATGGCTGTTTGCAGAACACATCAGAAGGTTACTCTCCTGGAACATTTGAAGATACAGATGCAGTTCCAGCTGTCGACATGAAGGTCTACGATAGAGAACGGGTGCTGGACAACTCTTGGCTTCAACTTGAACCTAAACCTGTGGATTTT